TGCTGGGTTCAGGGCCTTTCCCTATCTGTATTGTCGATCAATATGGAAGCTCTTCTCAAACCTTGCTGATGTTATGCTTGTCAAATATCGAATTATGCGATCCTGTTGCAAGCGAAGGAGGGGGGCCGCTCCGCAGATCCCCTTGACTTTCAGAATGCGAAAATTCACGCCTATTGCTTGACCTCAATTCTGATCCTTTTCGGGGCATGGGTGGCAGTCAAAGCCCCGGTATCCGTATTGTGTACAAGCGGGACATTTTGAAGGCCTTCGACGTGCTTCTTGGGTAGGGCAGTGAACGTAGTCTTGTTTCTTTTTCGTGCGATAGTATTCCATCACTTCGGCGAATTCCACACTTTCACCAAGTGCCTTCTTCTACACGCTCAGTCATTTGCTAAATGCACAAACCCAGTGGACAGTCCTGCTGAAGAATCATTTATTTAGCAAATCCGAGTCCACCGCTGGACTCCTGTTCACCAAGGACCGATACCCTTCGAAGTAGAGCTGCATCAATAGGTTCCTGTGTTTAAATTTTCTTCACCCCACAATATCCTATTCCACCGCCGACATGGAGATAAACCATCTTCGTAGTGCATGCCAGAAGGCTCCAGTGCTCCGGATATGCTCCTTAACAAGTGGTACCCTTGATCCAACATGACCACCATTATTGCACGTCCCCCTCTAAAACGGAAGGTGCCAACAGCGACTGAAGACCTCCGGGTGCATTTTGGTCAACGAAACAAGTCCAAAAAACGTAGGGGTTTCGTTCATTGCCCCTGCATCGCGGCGCCCGTCATATCTGGACGGACCGCGAAGCCGGAGGCATTCTTCATGAGTTGTTTGTGCTGTAAGGGCATATTCCGCTACATAGTATAGTAGTTTCAAAACGACGAGGCCCTATACCCTTGGTCAACTCCCCAGCAGAGTGTAGACCATGCTCAGCCTCTATGGAGCAAGACGAGAAGCAATTGATATGCCTAAAACTTCTTTTTGAAGCACCCTCGGTACTGTTTACTGCTGTGTTGCAGGGCGTCATGCTGTCGGGGTGAAGCTCGCTGCTCTGCCCTGTCCCGACGAACCATACTGTCCTAACTAAAATCGGCAAGCCTACCCTGGAACTGGCGTGAGCAGCAGGCGGGTTAAATGGCTTACAGTAAGACTTCATAAAGAATCAGCTGGCCATCTCCCCAGTCTCTACACGTTCTAGGAGCAGCGGCCCAAGGCTCTGTGACTCGGGGGCAGGAGGCTGCCTGACATGCGTTGCAGAGCCCCTCGTTGCAGCTGCTAATGCTGCAAGGCGCCTTCTCATGGCAGAGCAATCAAACCCCCTCTTGCTCTCTGACACAGCACTGTAGGAAACTGCTGTGATTCTGCTTGCTTGCAGGCCACCTACTATGGCGGAGCAACTGTCCATGCAACAACTTCGGCCAGACCATGCTACAACCCGGTTCCGTAGAGTCGTGCGCAGTCCGTTATTCCCAGAGTAAACAAGGATGGTTCATAGGTTCCTCAGTCTGCTACTACAATAGAATGTGCATGCTTACTGGTGGGCAGCCTTGGCGGTGTACAGGAAACTCTGTTTCTCGCGAGCAGTGTGGCTTCTGCTGCCAACGTGCTCTGCGCCAAGGCGTTGTGAGGCCACATCCCCAACCTTAGTAGCGCTTGAAACACTAAAATGCGTACTTGAAGGACTCGGGAGTACTGAAGATAACTATAGATGAACGTTCTCTAGAACCTCATTGCTGCGCTGCACACAATCTCATCCAGCCCCAATCACTGCTGCGCGTGCCTTGTAGACCCGTGGTTCAAGCCAATCCAATTGTAGTAAGTAGAATGGTTGAGGTGGACCCATTCATATTCTCTACCGCAGTTGTAGATTGTTCACTGGATAACTCAAGGCTTAACGTAGTGCCACGCATTACAGCGTGAGCGATGGACCCTCCCGTTGAGTCTGGTGAGCAGCAGCTGCTGTTTTTTTCCGTCCTCAAAGCTATTAATAGAAACAAATGACTTGTGTTTCAACTTTGTTGCTCTGTGCGTGTGCTGACTGCGGCCTAGAGAGCAAGGAAACCGCAGAGGGCGTTCCCCCGCCCTCTAGCGCTCCGGCCGCCGAAGTAGGTGCGGGGGCTGAACCTCCCACCACCACCCCCCGGAAATCTGAGGTCGCGCGCAAATGTTCAGATGTCTCCTCTCCAGATGAAGAAGGCAACAGCGTGCACGCCCAGCGCCTTGGTGTCGATATCCCTCTCGATCCAAACGACGAGGAGCTCCTCTTCCAGGGCGCCCGCATCTTCAAGATTGAAAATCTTAACAACTTCAAAAATCTCAAAGTCCGTTGTGCTCTGTGTGCAGGCATAGCCTTAAGGCATGCACGGGGGGCAACTTGAGGAACAGTCTCGTGATGTCTTTGCACACCACAATTTCTGTCCATTCAGTGCTGGCCCAAACAACAACCTTTCGCTGTTGCTGTTGCTGTTGGCACGGCTTCTGCGTGCACAGAAACTCGCATTGATTGCAAACGAAGTGTCGGTCATCGAAGGCCTTGAGGAGCAGGGCCCCACGCTGGAGCAGCTGGAGCTGTACCAGAACCACATAAAGCGCATAGATAACATCCAGCACCTGACGCATCTTAGGTTCGCCCTCACATTCCAGTTGCCTTTCTTGCTTTCTGCTTCAGTTTACGTTAATCTCTCACGAGGTCTCTCCAACAGCGCTAGCGGGCGTTTTCTCCCTCTTCGTCGCTGCGCTTTCTTGATATGGAAATTGTGCTGCGGTGTCTGCAGGGTTTTGGACTTGTCTTTCAACAATATCAGACGCATTGAGCATCTTGAGACCCTCGTCAATCTGAGAGAATTGTTTCTTTCTAGCAACAAGATCACCAAGGTGCGTGCGCCCCCCAAGCAAGGGCAAGCACGCGAGCGGTCGGGCGCCCGTGTAAGCAACGACAAAGCAGCAGCAATCATTTGGGGCCTCGTTGCGCTGTGCGCATTTGCTTTCGCACAGATTGAGGGTCTGTCTACGCTGAAGGAGTTGCGCACGCTGGAATTGGGGTCAAATAGGATCCGCGTAGTAGAAGGCATAGAAAACCTGACAAATCTGACTGAATTGTGGCTGGGCCGGAACAAAATAACTCGCTTGGTGGGTATATGGCTTAGGGTAGAAGGTATAGGTAGAATTTAGCCTTTTGGGAAGTGGGCTCTCCTCATAATTCTTTGAACCATGCATAGCAAGCGTAGCGTATCCTGTCGGATTGTGATAGTTGGTGGTGCCCAGTTCTTTTTTTTGGTTTCTCTCCGACTATGTATGTGATTCCCATCCTCTAATTGTAGCATGTGGACCCTAGCCTGTGTTGCTTCCGTGTGGTGGCCCCACCCTAATCACTGTTATGGGCGCTGGTGGGAGCCACTTGGGTGCATCATCTCTTTGGAGGATCAAACTTAATGATACCGGAGCGGCGTTGCTTGGGGGGTGGGCTGCTCAGCTGTCTCGTGTGTTGTGTTCTTGTTTGTTTGTCACCTGGGGACGTCATTGGCGGCCTTGTTCGCTTTCTGGTGTTGAGGTTGCTGCTGATCATGGTGGTGCTGCTACTGGTGGCTCCCTACAGCGCTGCCAGCCTTGGTGGCGAGTTCATAGGAATTTGCTTCTGTGGCGGCGGCTGTGCAGGAGTTGCCTCATCTTCCGCAGCTGGCTCGTGCCAGCCTTCAGTCCAACCGCATTGAAGAGTGGAACCCTGAGCTTTTTGGGAATTGCCCCAAACTCCGCGAGCTGTACTTGTCGCACAACAATCTGCCGTCGCCTCCGTCGGAGATTGGCCAATTGGTAATTTCACTCTTCTTAGTTTTTCCGTTGGTGCTCTTATATGCCTGTTGCTTGGTGGTGCCTCTCATTACGCTGCAGCGTCTCTGCACGCGTTTGAGTTTTCTTGGTCTGGCCCCCGTGCACAGCTGGGCCTGTCACCGGCGTTTGTCTGTGGAAAGGCATGACCTTGTTGTGGAGATTGGCTGGGTGGGCTGCAGGTGGAGCTGACGGTGCTTGATTTGTGCTGCAACAGAATCGACGATGTTGGAACCATCGCGTCTCTGCATCAGTTGCAGGATCTTTGGGTAAACAAAATGCGGCCCACATTCCCCCTCCGCCGTTCGTCGTTGCGTCCGTATGTAGGCTTGTGGTTAGCCCATAGGCGTCTGTGTGAACGGCCACTGCGATTCTGGAGCACACGGGGGAGATGTGCTGTCGGTGCTGCTGCAGCTCAATGACAACAAACTGGAGACTGTTGAAAAGATTCGCTGCTTGCAGCACCTTTCTGCTTTGGATACACTCTACCTCGAGCGGAACCCGCTCCAAGCATCTTTGGGGCCTGGTTATAGACAAGCAGTGACAGATTTGTTGCCTCGTAAGTTCCTTCAGTGCCAGGAGTGGTTGCCGCTAGCGGTACCACCACTGGGGGAATGAGTGGCCGTTCTTTTCCTGGAAAGCAAAGTATTTCACCCTGCCTTGCCTCCTCTGATGATGATTTCGCAGGACTTTCGCAGCTGGACGCGCTTTCCATCAGCACTACTGTCCACTTTGTGCAACATAAAGGAGATGGTGAGGCAGTAGGAGGAGTCAAAAAGTTCTTCTCTGCAGACGCTGGCGCTTACACACTCACCGAAATGTTTTGATTCCTTTTGTTGAACTAGCAAGGAAGAAATAGTATGACTTAGCTACCTCCTTATGCAAGAGCCTTGTGCATGCTGGTGTGGTCCGCAGAATCTCAAGTCAAGCCAATCTTGAAGCGTTGAAATGCTTTCGATGTTAGGGACCCTTGACCTGTCCTGGGCTCAGCGACTCGTAGGAGGATGGGATTTTGGTTTTGAACGGTGGAACGTGCGACCGACGAACTCAGTGAAGCATTCTCACCCTCCGCAGGACCGGCACATTTTAGCGGCAGCAAGTGGCAGTAGCGGCATCGGGTGGCAGATACAGCTGCATCCCAGGACGGTTGTCCCAACAGCTGCCCTTGTCAGTGTTTTCAACATTGCTGGAGCATCAGTTACCAACGAGAAGAGTTCAATGCAGCGAAAGCAGCACTAGAGGGTCGCGTGGGTAGTTTCAGCGAACTGTGGCAAGGACGGTGTTTGGAGGGAGACTTACAAGCTGCTCTAGGCATGTGCAGAAGTGGCAGAGGGACTCCACACAATGTCAGAAGACTTCACGAAACGAAATACAATTTTGGCGAAACGGACTGCCGATTTATACAGAGGAGAAGGAAGGGATCATCCATGAGGTTGTGGCGCAGCCCCATGCGTATACTTACGGCCTTGTGCATCTGTGCGAGTCGTCGACGCGTCCATCTTCTGTTTTCTGATTCTGTAACGCCTCTGTCGCTGATTGTGTGAACAGCGGGTCCTGACAGCGTTTCACAGTGAGGGATGGCTTCCTACGGGAGTTGTGGCTTGTGGATTCCATGAAAGCAGCTTCTACTGCACAGCATGCTGGACGTCACTCAATTTGAACTAATGCAGAGTTGATGTCTGTGGCTAGCCTCGGCGAGATGCTTCCAGACAAACAATTGCTCAAGGTATGGCGCGGTTTGAGAGAAATCGCAATGCATTAATGCTGCCGCTAGTGGCCACGCAGTTGAACTACAGGTTTTTGAACAAGCCCAAGTGTAATCTCGTTGAAGTCATGTACCTCCAGCCGGTATGAAAGATGCTGTACCATGGCAGCTAACCAGCTGAAATCGCCACGCGCTTGAGCTACTGCGGAGTAGGGGAATTTTGCAAGGATGCGCACCCTCGAACTTTACACGTGCAGGCAAAGAAATAGCTCATTGCAAGGTCTTACTGGGGTCTGGACGCAGGTCGGCGGTTCCAGAGAACGCAGCACTGACCGGTACGCCCTAGAACAGTGGGGTGACCCTGGCTTTGTGGGGCTACTTACAAAAGTTTCGGCAGATATCATGTGCGTGCATCATTAAAGATAATGATGTGGAGTCGACTAGGGTTCGCTGTTAACGCTGAGCACCACTTTTATTGAGCGAGTGTGGAGATCCAGGTTCCTACGTGTTCCTGCGAAGATAGGGAGCTGAGTTGGTCAAGAAGCTTTAGCAAATGGTAGAGGAGTTAGGCTGTTACGTCCGCCCGTCCCTGTTGGTGTGAACAGGGTGTTACTCAATGCATGCAGGGAGAGTTGCCAGTCTACTACAACACCCAGAAATAAGACTACTTGAAGAAGAAAGGGACAGCACAGGCTGAGAGTAAAAGCCCAGTACATATATGTGTATAATTATAGAACAATCATTCTTTCGTTTTGTGGCAGAGTTTGTCGTGGTTTGCTGGGTGCATTCATGCGTGCGGTCATGCTGGCTGCTGGAAGCCAAAACTTTTGCTAGGTAGCCCCGGAAAGCAAGGGTCACCCCGTTGTTATAGGGCGCAGCGGTGAGTACTGCTGTCTGAATTCGCCATCCTACAACTGGCAGTCGTTGGTAGCACGGCTTGGGTGCGAGGGGTAGGTGAGCACTCAGAAGGGGACTGCAGAGCTCAGGTACCATACGTTGAGCACTATGCAGGGGGAACATGCTTCACTTAGGAAAGAAAGCAATTTATGAATAGGTAGTCTTCTTAGAAATCTGTAGGGAGTCCACTCGCTTGTCTTCAAACTAAAGGTTGATCAGCGTTTGCCCTCCAGCGGGGATGCGCGTCGGAATGATAACCTTATTTGCAGTCCAACCATCCTGCGGCTAGACTCTGAAGAAGATTCATAAGCAATGCCTTGGCATGTGCCGAGCTCATAAATATGAGGGGCGCGGCTGCGCAAGGGCAGTGGAGGAGCTCCTCGCTTCCTTAGGGGTACTGTGGGCAAATAAGTAACGAACGTCCAAACGTTCCCCCTCCTCGCGTCGTATTGGCGGTTTTTCACTCCATCATTCGGTCATACCGCCTTTTCCCATGCCCTTCTGCGAGCTTCGGAGAGCGCGCAAATCCACTAAACCCAAGTCACCCGCGTGGAAACTAACTAGCGAACGTCGCTGGTCGTAATTTCTTGCTGGTTGATCTTGTCCGTTCCTAATGCTTTCCAGCGGTTCTGCAAGCTGCGTAGATACCAAAAACATCGGGCGTGCGGGCGTTGCTCCCAGCAACCAGGTCTAACGTCTGGTTAGAGAAGGCGTTTCGATGTACAACAGGTAGGCCGGAGAGCAACAGTCAGAAGAAAGTACTGTTATATTATTAACCCATTCCGCTCATGGAAGGTCTACGAATTTTGTTATGTATAATATAAGAAATGTACTGCACCCGCGTGTGGTTGTTGCGTTCAGTTTTATGGACTGCCGCCTGCTGATTCGCAGTACTGACGTTTTGTTCGGCATTGAGCCACCTCACGAGTTCGTGGCAAAAGGCGAGAACGACCGTTGTCCCCGTTAGTGTCGATGCTCTTCCGAAAACTGTGTAGCTTCTAGGCGTTACCATTAAATAATTCGGCCACTCATTCTGCTTTAATTCATCTTGAAAAGGGGGTGAAACGGGCGCATTTGCTTTGTCCATTCACGACGTAGTAGACGCTGTTGCAGCGTCCAGTTGACTGTGAAACTACTATGGAATCTATTGAGATATCCTTCCTGATCCATTCAGAAATAGGCAAGAGCCCCGGTTATAGAATGTTTAAAGAACTTAGCTGCCGGCATTCCGAACAAGTGAAGAACTACTCTTGGGCTAAGGGGTGTATCCTAGGCCACCAAAAACAGCTGGCCGCCCGGCCTACCGTTGAATTGCATGATCGTGCAGCTTGCACACAATTTGGGTGCGGAACGAAGCGGCAACGTATAATCGGCCGAGTCTACGCTTCGTCTGGTAACACAAGAGAGCGTCGCGTACACTGTAGTGCCTAATGCATCTCCCCCTTTTCAGGTTAGCAACACGGTAAACCGTGAGAGTATTTAAGGAGTAAGGAGAACGCAAATTTCAGCAATAAAAAGGGAATCGTCCGAGAGATACGCAAATGCGAAACTGCCTGGCTGGTAGGGCTTCAGGGAAATGCATCAGGAGCCACACTAAGGCTACCCTTGAAATACTGGACTGTGGGTTCGCAGGATACCCCGTAGGTGCTGCAACTGCCCCTGCACCTTCCGACCAAACGAAAGCACGTCGTCCTTGTATATAACCACCCCTCATTGCAATCATCATTGGCGGTAACTTCAGTTAAAAAAATGCATTCTCGAGTCCAGAGGGCCTACAAGTGTACTCTAGTTTGCCGATGCAGCTAGGGGATGCAACCTTGAGCCTTGTGTCGAGAAGTATCGGGATCTACAAAAGCACTACAGCTAAGTTAGATGGTGAGTATACTGCTGAACCGTGCAGGCGGAGAAGTAGTTCGTCGATCGGCGGCATCAGAATCTGTTGTTTCACCGTGGTTTTGTTGAGGGGCTTGAAGTCTACGCACAGGCCCCCCTTCCCCTTCGTTTCATTTGCCAGCTCCAGATCGTGCCGAAATGCACTAGCTGATGGCCGGCATTAGCCGCTTCTTAGCACGTCATCTGCTTGCTCCTCACTATCCTCCCAAAGATGTAAGGGTAGCCTGTGCCTTGGAACGAGGCCTGAAGTTGCTCCGTGGGTTCAGTTCGATGCAGTGAGTGCCCTGCGGGTGGTCGGCCCTCTGGGAGATCCTTGTTATTTCGGGAATCTGTGAACTTTTCCTTAATTGTGGCCCATTTTATTGTTCCTCTGGTGTTAGCTGGACTGGATTCCCGAAAACCACTGCCTTCGTCCCGCCCTAACGACGGAGTGTATGCATTTTTCTGTCGTTTCCTGCAGTGCCTCTGCACTGCGGAGGGGCTTCCTCGCTCGCTCCTCCTTGAGAGAGCGCTATCCTCCACTCCCTGGACCGTAGAGCGTGCAAATCCCTTTGGGAACGTTGGGAGGTACACTCTTTCAGCGCTTCCTGGAGCAGAGACCTCAATAGTGCCATCTGGGAGCGGCAGATGGGCACTCCACTGGGTCGCCCGTGGCATGTTTAGGTCTATGTCGTGTTGCACTGTTCGGACGTGTACTATGGTAACATGACCAATTTCCGAATTGAATCCTCGTTTTACAGCAACGGTTTTGCCAATTCTCGTATGCTGTTGGCTACCTGCAAAGCGGGTTTGCAGAGAGTACGCCAACGAGTACAGGTAGGCTGCACATCCTCCCCGTAGCATCACATATCAGATGTGCTTCCCAGCCCGTGCCACGTAGCTCTTGCAAATACTGTCTATTAATACGAGCTTCGATAAGCAGTAATCCTAGATGGATCTGCCAATGAGGCGGTCATTTCTGTTGGCCCCACTACTGCGCTCCGCGCTGTTTGGAGGCCACGGCACTTCCCCGTGTGCTTTGTTTGTTTCCCTAGCGGCGCCGCTCCAAGCCTTGCTAGTCTGCACTTTCGAATTAAGTGGCCTTGCTTATTGCAAGGGAAGCATGTGAGCAGCTCCGTACGTTCCCCCCGAATTTCTGAGAGATTGATTCCCCCCGTTGTTGCCAAGTGCCCCTATTAAACCTTTTCCAAGCGAGTCGTACATTCACTGTACCAATATCCAAAGGCATTCCACCCGCTTCCTCCTTTCTCAGCTACGCGATGGACGTGGCGTTTTTCCTCGCTTTGTTGCGTATATATTTTGTCATTTCGGCAAGACAACCCAGCCGGTTAACGGTCGCCAGGGGACAGCCCTGCGACAAACCGTAGATATAGGTGTTCAGAGTCTACCGTTGGATTCCGTTCACCAAGGACTCGTATTTGTTGAAGCAGCGCTCTATCGATAGCTTCCCCC